GTTGGGTCTTCGTTTCTGTGCAAGGGCTTTCTCTAGTTGTGGCAAGCCGGGGCCACTCTTCATCGCGGTGCGCGGGCCTCTCGCTATTGCGGCCTCTCTTGTTGCGAAGCACAGGCTCCAGATGTGCAGGCTCAGTAGCTGTGGCTCACGGACCTAGTTGCTCCGCGGCATGTGGGATTCTCCCAGACCAGGGCTCGAACCTGTGTCCCCTGCATTAGCAGGCAGATTCTCAACCGCTGCGCCACCATGGAAGCCATCTCTTCCATCCTTTAAAAAAAAAAGAGAGAGAGAGAGCGAATACATGCCAGTTATTTTGTAAAATGCCCCACATTCTAGATTTGTCTGATTAGTTCTTTATAGTTCATTTGTGTTTCTAACACTTGGATTTCCAATAAACTGCTAGCTAGGTCTAAAGACATTAGATTCAGATTGAACAGTTTTGGCTGTAATTATATTGTGCATTTGATATTGCATTCCATCAGGAAGCACATAATGTCTGGGTTTCTCACTATTAGTAATTCCAAGTTTGATCACTTGGTTAAGGTGGCTAGCTGCCAGGTGTCACCAAAGTAAAGTAGGTATCTTCCCTCTATAATTACTAATTAAACTATAAGGTGATACTTTATCACTGCATGAATATTCTGTTCCCCAATTACATTTTACCTAAAGGTTTTAGGATCTATTGATGATCCTTACCTGAATTAACTATTACATTAGAGGTTCCAAAATGATGAGTTTTTAAAAATTAATTGTGTTCTTGTACTTCTGTTTTGTAGTCCTCCTTCATACAAGCAATTACTGCATTCACTTTTTAAAATTCAATGGCATAGGGACTTTCCTGGTGGTCCAGTGGGTAAGACTCCGCGCTCCCAATGCAGGGGGCCCGGATTTGATCCCTGGTCGGGGAACTAGATCCCGCATGCATGCCACAACTAAGAGTTTGCATGCCACAACTAAGAAGTCCGCATGCTGCTGCTAAGAGATTCCGCATGCCGCAAAGAAGATCTCTCGTACCCAAACTAAGACCCGGTGCAGCCAAAATTAATTAATTAATTAAAATAAATCAAAAAAAAATTCAGTGGCATAATGTTTGGACAGTTTTCATCTGCTCTGTGGCAACATTTCCTGGTGAGTATTCTTTAGTTGTTGGAAACTCTTGCTAGTCTTTTCCTCTTTGACTTTAGTTTGATGCTGTGTATCATTCATTGAATGGGCCAGATATTTGCCTGAGGCTCCTGCAGAAGGGGCCAGGGTAGCCTTCCAGGCTAGCTGGTTTTCCCCACCTCCATCAGCCACAGACACAGGCCTGCTTTTTATGACTACTGCCGATCCATGTGATTCTTTGTGCAGCCCCACATGTAGGATTAAAGATGGCCACAATTCTTTGCTGATCCATTCAGGGGTGGAATCTATTCCTCCCATCCTTCGAATCTGGGACGTCTTAGTAATTTGCTTGACAAATAGAATGTGGTGAAAGTGACATTGTGTAGCTTCCAAACTAGCTCATAATATGCCTTTCAGCTTTGGCCCAGGCCACTCGGAGGTACTGCTCTGGGGGAAGTCGGCTACCACAGAAGAAGTCTGACTATCCTGAGACCACTATGTCTGAGGAAACCCAAGCTGGCTGCATAGTGAGGCCGCGTGGAGGGAGAGGCTGGACAAACCGAGGCACCAGACACGTGAGTGAAGGAGACTTCAGATGACTCATCTTTAGGCACCATCTGACAGAAACCGTGTGAGGAGACCCCAGCAAAAGCCACCAGCTGAGCCTGTCACATCCCAGAACTGCGAAAGATAATAGTAACTTGTTGTTCTAACTAAGTCACTAAGTTTGGGGGCTTCTCTGGCAGTCCAGTGGTTAAGACTATGTGCTTCCAATGCAGGGGGCACGGGTTCGATCCCTGGTTGGGGAACTAAGATCCCACATGCCGTGTGGCCGAAAAAAAGAAAAAACAAAAATAAGTCATATGTATAACTGATTCACTTTGTTATAAAGCAGAAACTAACACACCACTGTAAAGCAATTATACCCCAATAAAGATGTTAAAAAAAAAAAAAAAGTCACTAAGTTCATTACACAGCAATGGATAACCGAAACACCCACCTCCACTGGTGGTGTGAACCTAGACATTTGGTTTCTGCTTTCAGCTTTGCTCACCCAGTTCCCATAACCGCTTGAGGCTGCATCCTCCAACTTTAGGAGGTGTAGATGTTTCTGGAGCTGTCTCACCTCTGTGCCCTCTGAGCCCTCCTGCACGTCACATTTCATCCCTCTTCCTTCACTTCCTTTTTTGGGATTTCTGCCTCATACCAGGCAATTTGGCAGGCCTTTTTACATATTTTACAGTCTGCAAATTATATTTGTCCCTGAGTTTCACCAAAAAATATTGTCTGTGGGTTTTCCCCTCCACTTTTCTTATTGTTTTTGAATGATTTCCAAGAAAAGAGAGGAGAATGTTGATTTCTACAGCCACTTCCATAGCATGTCACCACCATATTTTTAAAATGGCTACATTCTTTTAAATGCACCATAACCAATCACCTATTAATAGACATGAAGGTTGCTCCCAGCATTTCCCTGCTACAAGCAGTGCTGCAGTGAAAATCCTTCTACATCTAACCTTCTCACACTCAAACACACATTTCTGTAGGATAATTTTCTACAAGTAGAATTTTGGGGTCAAGGGCAATGGCTGATTGAAGGATTTTTATGCCACTTCAGAATGTGGCAAAACAGCTCATTTTGCTAGAGCTGAAGCTACGGTGTCCCTTAAGTAAATTCCCTGAGCCCTTATTGTTGGGCTGTTGTGTTGCTTGGTATATTCAGTCTGTGAAAAAACCAGTCCAGTCCAATTTGGATAGAAATATGTAATTACCAGGACTTTTCCAGTTGAAGCTTCCTGGTCTCAAAAAGCAGGGTAAGTAGAGAGGTAGGATGAGGCAGAACAAGGAACACAACAAAGCAGCACAGCACCACAGTTAGGGGCATAGAACCAGGCTGGGTGTCAATACCCAGACTCTCAGACCTGCGTATGAATACCAATTCCACCAATCAACAGCTGTGCAAATTGGGCAGATCGCTTAACCTCTCTGAGCCTTACTTTCCTAATCTGTAAAATAAAGATAGCAATAGTACCTATGTCATGAGGCTATTGTGAAGACTAAATAAGAAATGTAATTGTCACATAGCATGTGCTCAATAACGGTCAGCTATTGTTAATATAACACAAAAGATCTTCCTGCCTTCCAAATTTTATGGCATTAGAGTAGGGGCAGAGGAGACATGGAGAAAAGGATGAAGTTTAGCAGCTTCCAGGAAGAGATTTTCCTATTATCTGTAAAAGCATATTGCTGAGAACAAACAGAATGGATAAGGGAAGAGAGGGGAGGGAAGTGAGGCCAGGGCAAGAAGATTTCCTGAAGGAAACATCCACAGTAGGAGGTAGAGCTTTGGGTTTCTGAGAAGGGGCAAGGGGGGAGAGTTGGTGGAGATTAAATGGCTTAGTATCCAGGTTACAGGTGTGTTAATGGGCACTCTGCTCTTTCTATGGGCATGATACGATCAATAGTCACGTCACAAACCCCTGATCTTTTAACAGATACTGATTGATTACTCCTCACCCCCTTGGGCATAAGACAGATGTATAAAAACTGATTGCACAGGATGTCTGAATGGGTGGTGTCCTTAGCGTTGTTCAGTGCACAGCTGGCACAGCTGTATGTGGCAGTCCTGCCTGGACTCCACCCTCAAATATTTTTTGCTTTGCATTGTGAACCACCATATGGACCACAAGGTTCCCGAGGGCAGGAACATGGATTACATAATTTTTTATACTCCCACAAGTGCTTGGCACTCAGTTGATGATCAGTGACTCTCCCTGGGACTTCCCTGGTGGCACAGTGGTTAAGAATCTGCCTGCCAATGCAGGGGACATGGGTTCAATCCCTGGTCCAGGAAGATCCCACCTGCCGCCTAGCCACTAAGCCCGTGCGCCACAACTACTGAGTCTGCGCTCTAGAGCCCGCGAGCCACAACTACTGAGCCCGTGTGCCACAACTACTGAAGCCCGTGCGCCTAGAGCCCATGCTCCGCAACAAGAGAAGCCACTGCAATGAGAAGCCCGCGCACCGCAACGAAGAGTAGCCCCCTCTCACTGCAACTAGAGAAAGCCTGCGCGCAGCAACGAAGACCCAACGCAGCCAAAAATAAATAAATAAATTTTTAAAAACATCATAATTCTCCCTTAGCAACTCTGTTAGGGGGCCTCTTCTGACCAGCATTTTTAGGCCTGCCCCTGACCCTCCAGGCATACTCAGTCCAAGCTCCACACACCCCTATCGGCACCTAGTAAACCCCACTCGGCCCGCCCTCCCCTTGAGACCAGATCAATTCAAGCACCAGGAAATCATTAATTCTCAGAGGGAAAGGAGCTTCAAGTTCTTGTCATTGAGGGCCACAGGATGTAGCCCTGTGACCTGCAGGACCCCAGAGAGCAGCCTTCTTGAGCCACGCTGCCCAACGCGTGGATCCTATCCCAGCCCTTATCTATGCAGGATTCTAAAGGCCCTGGGGCCATTGTTGGAGAGCTCTTATTTTTGGGTGCTTCCTCATACCAAGCCACTCCCCACCCCCACAGAGTGGTTCGCACCCTGGTCCCCATCCTGTCCTCTGTAGTCCCACACAAAAAGCCTAATCTCATGTTTCAGCAAATACGAAACTATGAGACCCCACTCAGGCCTCTTGGGTTCCAGCCCCGCCTAGATGCAATTCTTCTGAAAGCTGTTCCCTGTCCTTCCTCTGAAGGTGCTTATCCCTAGGCTGGGGTGGGAGGAGGGAGGCCCGGGACGCCACACACACCAGGCGTGCCTGCCTCTGTCCACTGTCACCCGCTCAGCCAGAGCCTGGCTCCCAGACAGGCGCAGAGCCAAGGTAGAGCAGTCAGGACATCGGAAAGAAAAGGCTGTGCATTCCTGCTTCCTTCTCGGCAAGTTTCCCAAGCAATGGGGCTCCTCGGGCTGCTGGCCAAAGAGCCTGGGCAGAAATAAATCTCCCCAGCCAGGGCTCCTTCAGAGCTGCCCTTTGGGGAACGTGCCCCCAGTCTTCCCGAGAGCCCCTCAGCCAGCGCAGCAGGCTCTTCCCTGGAGTTAGGTGTGTGTGGGAGCATGTTCCTCCCCCGGGATCCGTGCCGTCAGGTTTGGGGATAGGACCAAGTTTTCCCAGCACAAGTGAGAAGGACACAGGCACCTCTCCTCTTCCAGGACAAGGGTCATGGACACAACTTCTCCTGGAAGCCAGCAACTCACCTGCCCCTACCCTGTCCCACACCCCCCTTTCCAGGAAGGAAAGGTAAAACTCAACTCTTGTCACTCCCTGGGGTTTGGGGGAAGATGCGCGTGACCGCCTGGGCCTGGGGAGACACCTTCCCCTGAATGAGAAACTGAGGCCTCAGGGGCTGAGCAGAGAACAAGAGGGGCTGGACCTGGATTGGTTCCAAGAAACAGAATGCCTGTGGGCGTGCTCGGGGGTGGGGGGGGGGGATATAAGCCCTCTTGTCCCAGAAGCAGCCAAGAGGTGAGGGAGGGGTGTGAGTGACACCCAGGAAGACAGCAGAGGCTGAGGAGCTCAGGAGAGGCCGGAACAGCCCTGCAGATAAGGCTCTGGGCTTTCTCTCCTTTGGGGCCAAAGCCAGAGAAAGCACAGCCAGTTGCATAATCCTTCTATTTGCTCAGATCTACGTTTTGTCCTGAAGCTCCCTGCCCTGGGAGGTGATTGAGGAAGGCACTCAGCAAGGACTGGGCAGGGCAGGGAGTCAGCAGGCGAGCAAGGGGCGTGCTGGGTCTTCAGCTTTTTTTCCACCGCTGCCATCCAGGAGGATGGAGGCCCTCAATGAGTCTGCCCAGTTCAACTTCTCCCTGCCTCACAACTTCGGCAAGCGGCCCACCGACTGGGCGCTGAGCGTTATCCTGGTGATCATACTGTTAACCATCATGCTCTCGCTGGGCTGCACCATGGAGTTCAGCAAGATCAAGGTGCACTTCTGGAAGCCTAAGGGGCTGGCCATCGCCCTGGTGGCGCAGTACGGCATCATGCCCCTCACTGCCTTTGCACTGGGCAAGGTCTTCCAGCTGAACAACGTCGAGGCACTGGCCATCCTGATCTGCGGCTGCTCGCCGGGGGGGAACCTCTCCAACGTCTTCACTCTGGCCATGAAAGGGGACATGAACCTCAGGTAGGACGGGGGGGTGAAGAAGGAGCAATCTGGGGACAGCAGCTGTGTGGGAGATCACAATCAAGGCGAAGAGGGGGGCTAAAGCCAGAAGCGTGAGTGAGTGGGGGCTGGGTGGGTGCTAGGGCAGGGGGTGGCAGGCATTGATTGTCAGGAGCTCATGCTGGGCTGGGGACAGGACCTGGGGTACATCTTGGTTTAAGCACCAAGCCAAAGGGGCGCAGCTGGTCCAGGGGCACCCTGGAGAGCCCCCTGACTCCCAGAGTTGTCTCGAATGGGGCACAAGGATTGTCTTGCAGGAGTACTGTACTGACTTAAAGCAAAGGGACCTCTGGAGAACTTTTACCTGTCTGCCAGGTGGGGCAAGTTGTCTGCTTTGAGGCCAGAGATATGGAAAGGGAGTGCAGATTAGTTTCAAAGATCTCCAGGGAGATCAAGGTGGCTCGGAACCAAAGAGCACCTCCAAATCCTGCAGAGCAAGAAGGAACTTCCAAAGATTCCCCCCAGCTGTCTGGGCTGTCTTCTCTGAACTTCCCCCATCCACCCATGAGACGCAGGAACACTTCGATGCAAAGACACAGCCACGTAGATCCTAGAGTTTCCCAGGACCAGGTCGGGGTCCCAAGTCATCATGGGCCTCGCCTCGGCCAAAGTGGTAGGAGGGAAACAGCAGCAGCCCCACCCAGCTCATCACAGCAGAAATCAGCGAGGGCTCCCTCCTGCAGGGGCTGGTTGGACACCCGTCCTTCCAAACAAGTGGGACTCTGGTCTGGAATGCCTCCCAGGGTGAGGCCACATCAGGCCTGTTCCAGCTGCAACAGCAGCCCCTGCTGGCTAAAGAAAACTCACCAGCATAAAAGCTCTTGCTGTTATCTAAGCCTCCGTCTCAAGCCGGTCTCTTCTGGTTCGATCCACTCTTCCATGCCGGGCAAGGCAGTAAATTCAGACAGTCCATCTGCTTGTGCCTGTCAGTATCCTGTCCCTGGCTGAACTTTACTAAGGAAACTAGCCAGGTACGGAAGCCTCCTCCTGGAGACGCCAAGCGATGCTGGGGTTGATTATTAGATGAAAAAATGATAGTGATCATTGGGGGTTCCCTGGACCTGCCATCTGAGAAGCTCTGGACTCTCTACCCATATGATTTGACCCTTACTGAGGTGGTCAATGGAGAGAGAGCTTGGCTTGTGTTGTCTCCCATGGGAACATATCCATGTTCGACCACCTCACTGTGAGGAAATTCTTCCCTCTATCTAATCCAAGTCCTTACTGCTGCAAAACAAGCTCCTGGTCTTGATTTAGCCTGTGGACAAGGCCGGCTGCAGCCTCTGTGTCTTGGACAGAGAAACCTGGACTACACCTTAATTCTGTTGTAGAAGGGTTGCAGGTCAGGAAAGGGGTACTCAGGGCTTCGTGGCTCTGTAGAAGCGGCAGCGCTGGATAGGACAGCGTAAAATATCATGGGGGAGCCTCTAAGTGTGAGTGACCAGATGTCCCAGCCTTTTGAGCCAGTGGGTGCCAACGAGGTCTCTTCTGAAACACCTGCGTTTCTGAGGCTCTAGGCCTCCACCGGCAGAGCCTCCAGTGACTCTCCTGCTAGGCCAGGCCTCCCGGTCTGGGCACCTGGGAACTGTCACTTCCACCTAGACCCTCAAGAGACAATGCTCTGCCGGGACGGCCACCTTCTACCATAACGCCCCTACCCACAGACAAACCTCCCCCTCATGTTAAACCAGGCTTCTGACCCCACTGGAGGAGCGTGAATCTCATCCTCCACCATCACATGCCGCCAGGCCTCAAATCCCAAATTGAGTTCTTCATCTGGGACAACTTGTTACATGTATTATAATAATGATAATGGTGCTGATAATAAAAGACAGCCAGGCACTGGGCCAAGCACTTTACATGGGATCCTCTTACCGCTTCCCATGAGGAGGTGCTGTAAAGAGCCCCATTCTAGAGATGAGGAAACTGAGACTTCGAGAGGTTAATACATTTGTCCAAGGTCTGAAGGCTCCAAAGCCTGTGCTATCTTCAGGGTCGGGTGTGTACATAAATGAACTGAGTGGCTGGAGGGTGACCGCCAGCCTCGGAGACACGGGCCGCCCTACACGGGGCAGACGCCATGCATCTCTGCCATGGGTGTTGTGGGAACGGGGACTCAGTGCCTGCACAGCTCCCTGCTTTTCAGGAGAAGATGGAGTCCCCCTTTTTATGTGAAATCTCCAAATTCTTAATTATTGGTAACTCGCTCCAAGTTCTTAAAACACTGTGCAAGCCAAACAGGACATGACAGAGGCCCAGATGTTACACAGAAGCTATGGGTCTGAGATCTGTGTACAACCCCACGCGATTTCCCATCTAGAGCAGAAAGGAATGTTAGGACACCTATTCCACTTTACACGTGAGGAAGCGGAAGTCCAGAGACTTTCCAGAGGCTTCCCGAGAATCTGTGGGCCAGTTGTGTCTGGAGCCATTCCTGGGCTCTCTCTTCCCAGTCATTCTGCCTCACAGCTGGAGTGAGGCTGGGGGAGCGGCCGTCCCAGGGCGTTGGGCACATTCAAGGAGGCTGGGCCGCAGGGTGGACCTCTCAAGGCAGCCAGGCCCAGCAGCTCCTTCCTCAAGGATGCTGCTAGACATCTCCAAAGAAAGCAGGCGACCCGCAAGAGAAAGAGAAAGTGCTCTCACCGGGGACAGAGGAGAGAGTGCCAGAGGGAACTGGGCCCCTTTGATGGCCGCCTCTGCCTCCAGCTCACCTGCTCCCCCTCTCCCCTCCAGCCAGCTCGCAGCTGAGACAAGAGCCAATGGCTGAGGGGATAACCCAAGGATTCCCACAGCTCTCCCCACCATGACAGAGGGAGACTAAGCAGGAAGAGACAGAAGCTACCCGGGTTCCCAGAAGTTTCCCACTTCACCACAGAGTCTCTAATGGGTCCCCTCACAACTCTCTCAGCTTCTGCCTCCAGTGCCTCTATTGACAGGAGTTCAAAAACTGTTCCTCAAGCAGGGTGTACCGATGCCCCAAAGCAGGCTGTATGCAGTGCTCTGAGAACTTAAGCAGGAAGGGTAAAGAAAAAACCAAATGTGCTCCTTTCTCCCTGGTCCCTGGACCCCGAGAAGCATCCGGGTCCACAATGTTACTATGGAACAGATTCCAATCTCAGAGCTAGAGTCAGGAAGTTGCCTCCCATCCCTATCCTTCAGGGTAACAGGATCATGACAGTCACAGATACCAAAAAGTTAGGACCAGTGCCCAGCACTCACACATGCGGAGGAGGTTCGGGGGTCTGGGAGCATGGCTCCCACACACCTCAGTGCACGAGGCTCACCAAGTCTCAGAGCAAATTCCAAAGCTCCCGACATGCCAAGCCAAAGTAAGCATGACTCCTCTGTTCAAGGACATCAGAACAAGCACACAGGTTTTGTGTGGCTTTTCTCCTAAGAAGAAATCAATAGCTAGCACTGTAGCCCCCTGTGTGCCCTTCCCAATCTCATTCCCCTCTACCCACCCTGAAGGGAGCACCTCCCAGGATTTGCCTTTCAGCACTTCCACAGACCCTTTTACACTATTACTACATAGGTATATATCCATCAACAAGATACACTGTTGCATTTACATGGTTTTAAATTTCATATCAATGGTATCATACTGCCCATATCATTTGACGGCTTGCTTTTTTGAGATAATAGGTATATAAATAAAAGAGCTACTTCATGCATTTGAACTGCAGTATAGTTTGCTTGCATTTATCCATTCTCCTGTTGTCAGACATTTACATGGATTTCATGTTTTGTTGCATGAGCAAGTCCTATGCATGCTCCCCCTGTGCTCACATGTGAGAGAATACATAATGAACGCAGAAGTGCTGGGTCTTGAGGGTCACACATCTGCAACGAACAAGTCTCCAAAGTAGTTATTCCACTTCACACTTCCCAGGGCAGTGTATGAAGATCCCTGTTGTTCCGTGTCTTCATCTGTATTCGGAATTGTCAGACTTCTAAATTTTGTCATCTGGTGAGAGTGAAATGAGTCACGGTGGTTTTAAATTTAATTTCACGGGAAGTCTAGCAACTTTTCAAATACTGTTGGCCATTTGGGTGTCCTCTTCTGAAAATAATGCCCTTTGCCTATTTTTCGATGGGACTGTGGTGTTTTCTTCTCATTGATTTACAGTTATTTGTTGTTTTTACATGTTGCGACAGTCTACTCACAGTTTGGGGGTTATCCTTACATTTTGATAATGATGTCTTATAAAACAGAATGCTTATTTTAACTTAACCAACTGTACGAATATCTTTCCTTGGCAGTTTGTTTCGGGGGTTTCTTTAAGAAATCCTTTACTGCCTTGAAGGTCATAAAGATATTCACCTATGTTTGAAAAGTTTTACAGTTTTGCTTTTCACATGGAGATCTTTGATCAACCTAGAATTTATTATTATGTATGCTGTGATCTAATTTTATCTTTTCCATATGAATAGAGAAAATTCCCAGGACCACTGAGTGAATTTTTCTCCATCAACTTTTAATTCCATCTCTCTCGTTGACCAAATTCACAAATAAGCATAAGTTTGTGTCTGGGATCTCCCTTCTGTTCTATTGTTCTATGTCTCTATCCTTGAGCCAATATCACACTTTCTTAATTACAGCCTTTTAATAAATCTTGATATCTGAAAGTTGCCCTACCTTGTTGTTCTTGAAAATTACATTAGCTATTCTTGGCCCTTTACTCTTTCACTCGAATTTTAGGATTAAGTCTCACATCTACAAAAACTATTTCTGGAATTTCGGTTAAATTTGCTTTAAATTTATGGATAAATTTAGAGGCTATCTTTATAATACTGAATCTTCCCATCCATGAAAATGAAAATGGTACAGATTTTCTTTTATTAATCATTATTTTATACCTATGAAGTTTTATAACTTCTTTCATAAAGATCTTGCATATCTCTTTTAGATTTATTTCTAAACATTTTATCATTTTTATGAATATTATAAATGGTATCTT